CAGGTCCAAACTATAGCATGTGTGTCCTGATGTGTGATCAGGTCCAAACTATAGCATGGCTGTCCTGGTGTGTGATCAGGTCCAAACTATAGCATGTCTGTCCTGATGTGTGATCAGGCCCAAACTATAGCATGTCTGTCCTGGTGTGTGATCAGGTCCAAACTATAGCATGTCTGTCCTGATGTGTGATCAGGCCCAAACTATAGCGTGGCTGTCCTGGTGTGTGATCAGGCCCAAACTATAGCATGGCTGTCCGGGTGTGTGATCAGACCCAAACTATAGCATGTCTGTCCTGATGTGTGATCAGGTCCAAACTATAGCATGTCTGTCCTGATGTGTGATCAGGTCCAAACTATAGCATGTCTGTCCTGGTGTGTGATCAGGTCCAAACTATAGCATGTCTGTCCTGATGTGTGATCAGGCCCAAACTATAGCGTGGCTGTCCTGGTGTGTGATCAGGCCCAAACTATAGCATGGCTGTCCGGGTGTGTGATCAGACCCAAACTATAGCATGTCTGTCCTGATGTGTGATCAGGCCCAAACTATAGCATGGCTGTCCGGGTGTGTGATCAGACCCAAACTATAGCGTGGCTGTCCTGGTGTGTGATCAGGTCCAAACTATAACGTGGCTGTCCTGGTGTGTGATCAGGTCCAAACTATAGCATGTCTGTCCTGGTGTGTGATCAGGTCCAAACTATAGCGTGGCTGTCCGGGTGTGTGATCAGGTCCAAACTATAACGTGGCTGTCCTGGTGTGTGATCAGGTCCAAACTATAGCATGTCTGTCCTGGTGTGTGATCAGGTCCAAACTATAGCGTGGCTGTCCTGGTGTGTGATCAGGTCCAAACTATAGCATGTCTGTCCTGATGTGTGATCAGGCCCAAACTATAGCATGTCTGTCCTGGTGTGTGATCAGGTCCAAACTATAGCGTGGCTGTCCTGGTGTGTGATCAGGTCCAAACTATAGCATGTCTGTCCTGATGTGTGATGAGGCCCAAACTATAGCATGTCTGTCCTGGTGTGTGATCAGGCCCAAACTATAGCATGGCTGTCCTGGTGTGTGATCAGACCCAAACTATAGCGTGGCTGTCCTGGTGTGTGATGAGGCCCAAACTATAGCATGGCTGTCCGGGTGTGTGATCAGGTCCAAACTATAACGTGGCTGTCCTGGTGTGTGATCAGGTCCAAACTATAGCATGTCTGTCCTGGTGTGTGATCAGGTCCAAACTATAGCGTGGCTGTCCTGGTGTGTGATCAGGTCCAAACTATAGCATGTCTGTCCTGATGTGTGATCAGGCCCAAACTATAGCATGTCTGTCCTGGTGTGTGATCAGGTCCAAACTATAGCGTGGCTGTCCTGGTGTGTGATCAGGTCCAAACTATAGCATGTCTGTCCTGATGTGTGATGAGGCCCAAACTATAGCGTGGCTGTCCTGGTGTGTGATCAGACCCAAACTATAGCATGTCTGTCCTGGTGTGTGATCAGGTCCAAACTATAGCATGGCTGTCCTGGTGTGTGATCAGGTCCAAACTATAGCATTTTCTGTCCTGGTGTGTGATCAGGTCCAAACTATAGCGTGGCTGTCCTGGTGTGTGATCAGGTCCAAACTATAGCATGTCTGTCCTGATGTGTGATCAGGCCCAAACTATAGCATGGCTGTCCAGGTGTGTGATCAGGTCCAAACTATAGCATGGCTGTCCTGGTGTGTGATTATGTCCAAACTATAGCATGTCTGTCTTGGTGTGTGATCAGGCCCAAACTATAGCATGTCTGTCCTGATGTGTGATCAGGACCAAACTATAGCATGTCCGCCTGGTGTGTGATCAGGCCCAAACTATAGCATGGCTGTCCTGGTGTTTGATCAGGCCCTCACTTTGGCATGGCTGTCCTAGTGTGTGATCAAACTATAGTATGTCTGTCTTGGTGTGAGTTCAGGCCCAAGCTATAGCATGGCTGTCCTGGTGTGTGATCAGGGCCAAACTATAGCATGGCTGTCCTGGTGTGTGATGAGGCCCAAACTATAGCATGGCTGTCCTGGTGTGTGATCAGACCCAAACTATAGCATGTCTGTCCTGGTGTGTGATCAGGTCCAAACTATAGCGTGGCTGTCCTGGTGTGTGATCAGGTCCAAACTATAGCATGTCTGTCCTGATGTGTGATCAGGCCCAAACTATAGCATGTCTGTCCTGGTGTGTGATCAGGTCCAAACTATAGCGTGGCTGTCCTGGTGTGTGATCAGGTCCAAACTATAGCATGTCTGTCCTGATGTGTGATGAGGCCCAAACTATAGCGTGGCTGTCCTGGTGTGTGATCAGACCCAAACTATAGCATGGCTGTCCTGGTGTGTGATCAGGTCCAAACTATAGCGTGGCTGTCCTGGTGTGTGATCAGGTCCAAACTATAGCATTTTCTGTCCTGGTGTGTGATCAGGCCCAAACTATAGCGTGGCTGTCCTGGTGTGTGATCAGGTCCAAACTATAGCATGTCTGTCCTGATGTGTGATCAGGCCCAAACTATAGCATGTCTGTCCTGGTGTGTGATCAGGTCCAAACTATAGCATGGCTGTCCTGGTGTGTGATCAAACTATAGTATGTCTGTCTTGGTGTGTGTTCAGGCCCAAGCTATAGCATGGCTGTCCTGGTGTGTGATCAGGGCCAAACTATGGCATGGCTGTCCTGGTGTGTGGTGAGGCCTAAACCATAGTGTGGCTGTCCTGGTTTGTGATGAGGCCCAAGCTATAGCATGGCTGTCCTGGTGTGTGATCAGGTCCAAACTATAGCATGGCTGTCCTGGTATGTGATCAGGCCCTAACTATAGCATGGCTGTCCTGGTGTGTGATCAAACTATAGTGTGGCTGTCCTCGTTTGTGATGAGGCCCAAACTATAGCATGGCTGTCCTGGTGTGTGATCAGGTCCAAACTATAGCATGGCTGTCCTGGTGTGTGATCAGGTCCAAACTATAGCATGGCTGTCCAGGTGTGTGGTCAGGCCCAAACTATAGCGTGGCTGTCCTGGTGTGTGGTCAGGCCCAAACTGTAGCATGGCTGTCCTGGTGTGTGATCAGGTCCAAACTATAGCATGGCTGTCCTGGTGTGTGATCAGGTCCAAACTATAGCATGGCTGTCCTGGTGTGTGATCAGGGCCAAACTATAGCATGGCTGTCCTGGTGTGTGATCAGGACCAAACTATAGCATGGCTGTCCTGGTGTGTGATCAGGGCCAAACTATAGCATGGCTGTCCTGGTGTGTGATCAGGACCAAACTATAGCATGGCTGTCCTGGTGTGTGATCAGGTCAAAACTATAGCATGGCTGTCCTGGTGTGTGATCAGGACCAAACTATAGCATGGCTGTCCTGGTGTGTGATCAGGTTAAAACTATAGCATGGCTGTCCTGGTGTGTGATCAGGACCAAACTATAGCATGGCTGTCCTGGTGTGTGATCCGGTGCGTTCCGTAACATTCGGGAAACTCAGCCGATTTTGTCTGGTCGGTTTACAATCGTGACTATGTTGTGACAGATTCTGCTGTATCGGATCAAAATCGTAACATTGTCCCGTGTTGTCTGGACGGTGTCCTGTGGAGCGGGGCGCTGTCGTGATGAACGGGCATGAATTGTTCATTGCAGTTTCTTGTCGATTGAGTCCAGATTGCGTCCAGATCTTGACGAATGCGAACCGCCTTTGTCGGTTCACTGTCCGGTCACTGTCTGATCTCTGTCGCATTTGGGAGAATCGGGACGCTGTCAGGGCAGATTAGGTCGTTTTTTACCCACGCGGAAGATACAAATCGCATCAGATTCGGATTGAGAATCGGGACGAATTCGGCTGGAAACGGCTGAATCGGGACGCTTCCTGAACAATATCTGATTGTTTGTGAATTTCCCGCCACGAATCACAGGATCATGATCAGACTTTTGACAAATTTTAATCGGGAATGGTCCTATCAAGGACGGAAGTAAAAATCTTGAATGTGTAACTGAGCCCTAAACTAAGCGAAAGAACAGCCAGTCAATACAATTGTTACATGTAGACATGGGTGTCCCAATGATTGGAAGCGTTGCAATTTGCTTGCAGTGTCTCTTTGGCGCATGAGTATCTGCCAAAACTGGACGCATACTGGCCCTGATTATGACCTTGGTTAGGCACCAATCTCATTAAAATCAGACCTTAATTCTCGCTAGCGCTAAACAAACATCTGAAGACATCCCATTAGGGGTCACGTCAGAACGACCTTTCATCCGACTAATCAGAGCGTCGCTTACCAGATTATGAAATGTGATTTCTAATCAGGCAACCTCGAAAACTTTAACACGGGGTATTCCGAACGATAGTTACGGGTTAAACGACTGAATCCGGGGTATTCCGAACGATAGTTACGGGTTTAACGACTGAATCCATACAATCTAGACCATCTATTAGCCATTCCAGAATATTCTTTTGTTCAGGTTTCAAATTTTTAATCGAGAATTTATCAAAATATGTTTCGAAGCGTAGTGCCAGAGCACGAGAAAGCTGCCCTCTAGGGAAGAATAGGTCTTCAGCAACCAATGCTTGCTGTAAAAGGCGACTATGCTTGTCGTAAGACTTCCCGTTCCCGTGGTAAGAAATACTCCCACAGTTCCCGATCAAGTGTGAAACATCCTCCTGAAGAGGACCACCTTTGACATAATGGTACACTCTGTTGTTCCAAAAGATTCTACCCGTGAAGTTTCCGGGGTAGAATAGGTCTTCAGCAACCAATGCTTGCCGTAAAAGGTGACTATGCTTGCCGTAGAAGGTGACTAACGGGGTTGGGTGGTCAGACTCGCTGACTTGGTTGATGCATGTCATCGTATCCCAGTTGTGTGGATCTATGCTCATTATATCACTAACTGGACTGTCTGGGCCAGACTCGATTATTTAAAGACCACCACCATATAGCTGTAATGCTGCTGGTTGCGTCGTTAAACAACAAACAAACAAACCAAGTAACAGCAGCGGGGTAAGAGACTACAACTCATATATACCACAGGGTGTTTTATTGCTGCATGCTTCAGGATACATTTCTGTAATATTCATAACCCGAGCCATTTTTGGCAGCAATCTGGATGGTGTGCACCTTGTCCGGTGCCATCTCACAGCGATGAGTGCGTCGGGCGCTGTTTGGCCGGATCTGGAAGCTGAAGGACTTACAGCCAGGGTGTTTGGTGCAGCGGACAGCACACTCGACGACACTGTGGGTCTGGAATATAGACAGTGAACAAAGTGTGAGACTCATGTTTTTAAATGCTGAACTATCCCGATCCCTGGTAGTATCCCCGGTCTCCCAGTACCTAATACTTGTTTCCTTGTCGGGATCTAAGGTCAGAAAATGTCCCTGTGCCTAATACTTGTTTCCTTGTCGGGATACAAGGTCAGAATATGTCCCCAGTACCTAATACTTGTTTCCTTGTCGGGATACAAGGTCAGAATATGTCCCCAGTACCTAATACTTGTTTCCTTGTCGGGATACAAGGTCAGAATATGTCCCCAGTACCTAATACTTGTTTCCTTGTCGGGATACAAGGTCAGAATGTCCCCAGTACCTAATACTTGTTTCCTTGTTGGGATACAAGGTCAGAATATGTCCCCAGTACCTAATACTTGTTTCCTTGTTGGGATACAAGGTCAGAATATGTCCCAGTACCTAATACTTGTTTCCTTGTCGGGATACAAGGTCAGAATATGTCCCCAGTACCTGTCACTTGTTTCCTTGTCAGGAAAATAGGTAAGAATATGTCCCCAGAATCTGTCACTTGTTTCCTTGTCGGGATCCAAGGTCAGACTATGTCCCAAGTACCTAATACTTGTTTCCTTGTCGGGAACTAAGGTCAGAATATGTCCCCAGTACCTAATACTTGTTCCCTTGTCGGGATCTAAGGTCAGAATATGTCCCCAGTACCTAATACTTGTTTCCTTGTCAGGATACAAGGTCAAAACATGTCCCCTGTACCTAAAACTTGTTTCCTTGTCGGGATACAAGGTCAGAATATGTCCCCAGTGCCTATACTTGTTTCCTTGTCGGTATACAAGGTCAGAATATGTCCCCAGTACCTAATACTTGTTTCCTTGTCGGGATACAAGGTCAGAATATGTCCCCAGTGCCAAATACTTGTTTCCTTGTCGGGATACAACGTCAGAATATGTCCCCAGTACCTAATACTTGTTTCCTTGTCGGGATACATGGTCAGAATATGTCCCCAGTGCCAAATACTTGTTTCCTTGTCGGGATACAAGGTCAGAATATGTCCCCAGTACCTAATACTTGTTTCCTTGTCGGGATACAAGGTCAGAATATGTCCCCAGTACCTAATACTTGTTTCCTTGTCGGGAACTAAGGTCAGAATATGTCCCCAGTACCTAATACTTGTTCCCTTGTCGGGATACAAGGTCAGAATATGTCCCCAGTACCTAATACTTGTTTCCTTGTCAGGATACAAGGTCAAAACATGTCCCCTGTACCTAATACTTGTTTCCTTGTCGGGATACAAGGTCAGAATATGTCCCCAGTGCCTATACTTGTTTCCTTGTCGGTATACAAGGTCAGAATATGTCCCCAGTACCTAATACTTGTTTCCTTGTCGGGATACAAGGTCAGAATATGTCCCCAGTACCTAATACTTGTTTCCTTGTCGGGATACAAGGTCAGAATATGTCCCCAGTGCCAAATACTTGTTTCCTTGTCGGGATACAAGGTCAGAATATGTCCCCAGTACCTAATACTTGTTTCCTTGTCGGATACATTTTCAGAATATGTCCCCAGTACCTAATACTTGTTTCCTTGTCGGGATACAAGGTCAGAATATGTCCCCAGTGCCTAATACTTGTTTCCTTGTCGGGATACAAGGTCAGAATATGTCCCCAGTACCTAATACTTGTTTCCTTGTCGAGATACATGGTCAGAATATTTCCCCAGTGCCAAATACTTGTTTCCTTGTCGGGATACAAGGTCAGAATATGTCCCCAGTACCTAATACTTGTTTCCTTGTCGGGATACATGGTCAGAATATGTCCCCAGTACCTAATACTTGTTTCCTTGTCGGGATACAAGTTCAGAATATGTCCCCAGTACCTAATACTTGTTTCCTTGTCGGGATACAAGGTCAGAATATGTCCCCAGTACCTAATACTTGTTTCCTTGTTGGGATACAAGGTCAGAATATGTCCCCAGTACCTAATACTAGTTTCCTTGTCGGGATACATGGTCAGAATATGTCCCCAGTACCTAATACTTGTTTCCTTGTCGGGATACAAGGTCAGAATATGTCCCCAGTACCTAATACTTGTTTCCTTGTCGGGATACAATGTCAGAATATGTCTCCAGTGCCAAATACTTGTTTCCTTGTCGGGATACAAGGTCAGAATATGTCCCCAGTACCTAATACTTGTTTCCTTGTCGGGATACAAGGTCAGAATATGTCCCCAGTACCTAATACTTGTTTCCTTGTCGGGATACAAGGTCAGAATGTCCCCAGTACCTAATACTTGTTTCCTTGTTGGGATACAAGGTCAGAATATGTCCCCAGTACCTAATACTTGTTTCCTTGTTGGGATACAAGGTCAGAATATGTCCCAGTACCTAATACTTGTTTCCTTGTCGGGATACAAGGTCAGAATATGTCCCCAGTACCTGTCACTTGTTTCCTTGTCAGGAAAATAGGTAAGAATATGTCCCCAGAATCTGTCACTTGTTTCCTTGTCGGGATCCAAGGTCAGACTATGTCCCAAGTACCTAATACTTGTTTCCTTGTCGGGAACTAAGGTCAGAATATGTCCCCAGTACCTAATACTTGTTCCCTTGTCGGGATCTAAGGTCAGAATATGTCCCCAGTACCTAATACTTGTTTCCTTGTCAGGATACAAGGTCAAAACATGTCCCCTGTACCTAAAACTTGTTTCCTTGTCGGGATACAAGGTCAGAATATGTCCCCAGTGCCTATACTTGTTTCCTTGTCGGTATACAAGGTCAGAATATGTCCCCAGTGCCTATACTTGTTTCCTTGTCGGGATCCAAGATCAGAATATGTCCCCAGTGCCTATTACTTGTTTCCTTGTCGGGATACAAGGTCAGAATATGTCCCCAGTACCTAATACCTGTTTCCTTGTCGGGATACAAGGTCAGAATATGTCCCCAGTGCCTATACTTGTTTCCTTGTCGGGATCCAAGATCAGAATATGTCCCCAGTGCCTATTACTTGTTTCCTTGTCGGGATACATGGTCAGACTATGTCCCCAATGCCTAATACTTGTTTCCTTGTCGGGATACAAGGTCAGAATATGTCCCCAGTGCCAAATACCTGTTTCCTTGTCGGGATACAAGGTCAGAATATGTCCCCAGTACCTAATACTTGTTTCCTTGTCGGGATACAAGGTCAGAATATGTCCCAAGTGCCTATACTTGTTTCCTTGTCGGGATACAAGGTCAGAATATGTCACTAGTACCTAATACTTGTTTCCTTGTCGGGATACAAGGTCAGAATATGTCCCCAGTACCTAATACTTGTTTCCTTGTCGGGATACAAGGTCAGAATATGTCCCCAGTACCTAATACTTGTTTCCTTGTCGGGATACAAGGTCAGAATATGTCCCCAGTACCTAATACTTGTTTCCTTGTCGGGATACAAGGTCAGAATATGTCCCCAGTGCCAAATACTTGTTTCCTTGTCGGGATACAAGGTCAGAATATGTCCCCAGTACCTAATACTTGTTTCCTTGTCGGATACATTTTCAGAATATGTCCCCAGTACCTAATACTTGTTTCCTTGTCGGGATACAAGGTCAGAATATGTCCCCAGTGCCTAATACTTGTTTCCTTGTCGGGATACAAGGTCAGAATATGTCCCCAGTACCTAATACTTGTTTCCTTGTCGAGATACATGGTCAGAATATTTCCCCAGTGCCAAATACTTGTTTCCTTGTCGGGATACAAGGTCAGAATATGTCCCCAGTACCTAATACTTGTTTCCTTGTCGGGATACATGGTCAGAATATGTCCCCAGTACCTAATACTTGTTTCCTTGTCGGGATACAAGTTCAGAATATGTCCCCAGTACCTAATACTTGTTTCCTTGTCGGGATACAAGGTCAGAATATGTCCCCAGTACCTAATACTTGTTTCCTTGTTGGGATACAAGGTCAGAATATGTCCCCAGTACCTAATACTAGTTTCCTTGTCGGGATACATGGTCAGAATATGTCCCCAGTACCTAATACTTGTTTCCTTGTCGGGATACAAGGTCAGAATATGTCCCCAGTACCTAATACTTGTTTCCTTGTCGGGATACAATGTCAGAATATGTCTCCAGTGCCAAATACTTGTTTCCTTGTCGGGATACAAGGTCAGAATATGTCCCCAGTACCTAATACTTGTTTCCTTGTCGGGATACAAGGTCAGAATATGTCCCCAGTACCTAATACTTGTTTCCTTGTCGGGATACAAGGTCAGAATGTCCCCAGTACCTAATACTTGTTTCCTTGTTGGGATACAAGGTCAGAATATGTCCCCAGTACCTAATACTTGTTTCCTTGTTGGGATACAAGGTCAGAATATGTCCCAGTACCTAATACTTGTTTCCTTGTCGGGATACAAGGTCAGAATATGTCCCCAGTACCTGTCACTTGTTTCCTTGTCAGGAAAATAGGTAAGAATATGTCCCCAGAATCTGTCACTTGTTTCCTTGTCGGGATCCAAGGTCAGACTATGTCCCAAGTACCTAATACTTGTTTCCTTGTCGGGAACTAAGGTCAGAATATGTCCCCAGTACCTAATACTTGTTCCCTTGTCGGGATCTAAGGTCAGAATATGTCCCCAGTACCTAATACTTGTTTCCTTGTCAGGATACAAGGTCAAAACATGTCCCCTGTACCTAAAACTTGTTTCCTTGTCGGGATACAAGGTCAGAATATGTCCCCAGTGCCTATACTTGTTTCCTTGTCGGTATACAAGGTCAGAATATGTCCCCAGTACCTAATACTTGTTTCCTTGTCGGGATACAAGGTCAGAATATGTCCCCAGTACCTAATACTTGTTTCCTTGTTGGGATACAAGGTCAGAATATGTCCCCAGTACCTAATACTAGTTTCCTTGTCGGGATACAAGGTCAGAATATGTCCCCAGTACCTAATACTTGTTTCCTTGTCGGGATACAAGGTCAGAATATGTCCCCAGTACCTAATACTTGTTTCCTTGTCGGGATACAATGTCAGAATATGTCTCCAGTGCCAAATACTTGTTTCCTTGTCGGGATACAAGGTCAGAATATGTCCCCAGTACCTAATACCTGTTTCCTTGTCGGGATACAAGGTCAGAATATGTCCCCAGTGCCTATACTTGTTTCCTTGTCGGGATCCAAGATCAGAATATGTCCCCAGTGCCTATTACTTGTTTCCTTGTCGGGATACAAGGTCAGAATATGTCCCCAGTACCTAATACCTGTTTCCTTGTCGGGATACAAGGTCAGAATATGTCCCCAGTGCCTATACTTGTTTCCTTGTCGGGATCCAAGATCAGAATATGTCCCCAGTGCCTATTACTTGTTTCCTTGTCGGGATACATGGTCAGACTATGTCCCCAATGCCTAATACTTGTTTCCTTGTCGGGATACAAGGTCAGAATATGTCCCCAGTGCCAAATACCTGTTTCCTTGTCGGGATACAAGGTCAGAATATGTCCCCAGTACCTAATACTTGTTTCCTTGTCGGGATACAAGGTCAGAATATGTCCCAAGTGCCTATACTTGTTTCCTTGTCGGGATACAAGGTCAGAATATGTCACTAGTACCTAATACTTGTTTCCTTGTCGGGATACAAGGTCAGAATATGTCCCCAGTACCTAATACTTGTTTCCTTGTCGGGATACAAGGTCAGAATATGTTCCCTGTACCTAATACTTGTTTCCTTGTCGGGATCTAAGGTCAGACTATGTCCCCAGTACCTAATACTTGTTTCCTTGTCGGGATACAAGGTCAGAATATGTCCCCAGTGCCAAATACTTGTTTCCTTGTCGGGATACAAGGTCAGAATATGTCCCCAGTACCTAATACTTGTTTCCTTGTCGGGATACAAGGTCAGAATATGTCCCCAGTGCCTATACTTGTTTCCTTGTCGGGATCCAAGGTCAGAATATGTCCCCAGTACCTAATACTTGTTTCCTTGTCGGGATACAAGGTCAGAATATGTCCCCAGTACCTAGTACTTGTTTCCTTGTCGGGATACAAGGTCAGAATATGTTCCCTGTACCTAATACTTGTTTCCTTTTAGGGATCAAAGCTCAGGATATGTCTCCCTGCGGAGATTTGGGATCAGATATGTTACCATTAATCGCGACAGCAAGGATCATACTCCAATATTTACAGGCCACATTGATATTGCTGTGATATTGCTGACTCAGGGATTCAACAACAATCACTCACTCAGATTTTGTATACCTCATCAAAAGAATCGTTTGAGAATCATTACTTAGAAGTTGACGGATGACAAAGTAGTACTATATAGTCAAAAGAAGTGCCATGACAAACTGTAACTATAGTAATTTGAAAGAATCGGGCGTTCCTTAACTTATTTTCAGCAGTATATTACTACATGATACAATAAGATTGACCACCGTTGGAAGCCCTACTGACAATGCATGCACTGTTAAAGTACGTCTCTACAAGTGAAACATCCACCAATGGCATTGCTAGATTATTGTAAAAGTCTGCATAAAATCTCACTGAGTGAACAGAAGAATTATTTTCTCCCCAACACCACTCACCAGGACATATGGCACGTCCTTCCGACACTGGTCCGGCGTCAGGCCACTGCACAGACTGCCCACTTGACCAGGCTGCAGTCGGTACCGGGCGTTCATCTGGGCTACTGCAACATATAAACACACATCACAGATTATTTACAGGCCGCACTCATATAGCTGGAATATTGCCGAGTGCGGCATAAAACAACACTCATACACACCGGGACCGCATCGTCGAACTAGATGCTCAATCTTGTCAAAGGTAGGGTAATGAATACGTTCCAGTGTTGTAATGGTTGACAGTGGCCTCGTGGTTGGCCAAAGACTCGGGTTCGATTCCCAACGTGTGAAGCCCATTCTCGGTGTTATAGAGCTAGAATATTTCTGCAAGAGGCATAAAACCTGACACGCTCACACACCCTCACACACCCTCACTCACGCACCCAAACGGCCACTCACTCACTCACTCTGTTGTGGTCAAGGAAACCAAAGTTTGAAATGGTCGACTTTAATATGATCGATCTAGTGGGAACTATTAGCACATGGAATGTAGACATGATCGATCTAGTGGGAACTATTAGCACATGGAATGTAGATATGATCGATCTAGTGAGAACTATTAGCACATGGAATGTAGATATGATCGATCTAGTGGGAACTTTTAGCACATGGAATGTAGATATGATCGATCTAGTGGGAACTATTAGCACATGGAATGTAGACATGATCGATCTAGTGGGAACTATTAGCACATGGAATGTAGATATGATCGATCTAGTGAGAACTATTAGCACATGGAATGTAGATATGATCGATCTAGTGGGAACTATTAGCACATGGAATGTAGATATGATCGATCTAGTGGGAATTGTTAATTTTGCTGCGCTGAATTTATTTGGCACCGTTGCCGCATTGACAGGCTTTCAATGCTCTGACAGCCGCCTTAGAGGATATGCTGGATTTCCTCGTTGCTGGAGCCCAAATCAATGAATGACCTATGCGTCATATTTACGTCCAAGGCTCAACACAAGACAGTTACCCGATCCCACCAATATCCTGTTCCACTGACGATGGCCCCCAACGCTGCTCAATAGGTCTCATTTGGTCAGGTATTTTTACTGCTGATAAATATCTGAGTAAATCTGGTTTGAACATTTGTATGACATGTTGTAGTGTGTTTTTGATCCGAACCCTACTGCCTTAGTTAAAGACGCCATGATATTGTTCAAAGCGGCGATAAACCCAAGTCCATTTTAACCAAAAATATTCTTGAAACTAGGAGACTGTTGGAAGCGAAAGAATACACGCTGGTCAAGTAACAAACATGGCAAATGATCAGTTTAGACTGGCGAGTTAAATGAAAAATGTACAGTCTATAACGAAACATTTTCAAGAGAATAACAAACAACATGAAGCGATAATAACTCCATATATGACCATCTATCATTATTGTGCTTTGTCAATGTGAAACTAGGGGCGGTCGGGTAGCCTTGTGGTTAAAGCGTTCGCTCGTCACGCCGACGACCCGGGTTCGATTCCCGACATGGGTACAATGTGTGAAGCCCATTTCTGGTGTCCTCCGCCGTGATATTGCTGGAATATTGCTAAAAGCGGCGTTAAACCATACTCACTCACTCACTCACAATGTGAAACTAACGTGAAAAGGAAGTCAACAGTTTGTGTACGGGCCAGACACCTACGATAAAGGGAGACAATTTGAAGGGAGGTAACTCTTTTATGACAAAAGTTACGTCACAGAAGTAAAATATCAAGTGTTATGTTCACTCTAGTGAAATATCAGGTGTTATGTTCACTCTAGTGAAATATCAGGTGTTATGTTCACTCTAGTGAAATATCAGGTGTTATGTCCACTGCAATGAAATATCACTTTTCTCAACTTCGGAAAACTCAGTCTTGTTTAAAGGCCGTCTCATATGGAGCGGCGTAAAACAGCACTGCCCTTAAGATTGGGGTTTCACGACGGGATAGTCAGCAAGATGGCAGCTTGATATATGTGAGTGAGTGAGGTTTTACGCCCCTTTTAGCAATATTCCAGCAATATCAGGGCAGGGGACACAAGAAATAGGCTTCACGCAATGTACCGATGTAGGGAATCACGCCGTGGTACATGTCGACGTGACCCGTGAAGATCCGGGGTAGAATTGGTCTTCAGCAACCCATGCTTGCCGTAAAAGGCGGCTATGCTTGTCGTAAGAGGCGACTAACGGGATCGGGTGGTCAGGCTCGCTGACTTGGTTGATGCATGTCATCGATCCCAATTGCGTAGATCGATGCTCATAATATCAATTACTAGATTGTCTGGTCCAGACTCGATTATTTACAGACCGCCGTCATATAGCTGGAATATTGTCGAGTGCGGCGTTAAACAACAAACCAACCAACCAACCAACATGTCGACGTGTATTTAAATCGGGCATCGTCCAGCGAAATAAGGAGTTGTAAGTGGGATAATCCGGGTGGGATGACATGTCGCAAACGAGAGTCGGTTGTCCCTGGTACCACCTGACCAAGTCCTGTTGCTAGGCAGCAGCCGGGCACCCGATCCCCAATGTAGTTGACCCGGGACTATTCTGCCCACACAGTTAAGAAGGATGGCGGGGATCCTTAAGAAGACACATATTACGATTCTGAAATTGTGCCTGATGATGGTGTAAGCACAAAATCTCTTTTTTGGTTTTGGAAAAATTAAAGGCACTTGTGAAGGTCTCATCGATGTTGAAGCATTGATCAGTGTAGATCGATGAAACTAATTGGTTTCATAATTGTTCAAAGAAATACCTCCATGAACACTCTTCAAAAAATGAAACACACAGGAAGTATGTAGTTCATTGAACCTGACTACACTAAAAATCCGGTATATAAATTGGATATAAGTTATTGGAAAATGTTGGTCGCCTGATATTCCACAAACGGTGCGTCAAAACGCAGGCATTGTCGATTTGCAATGTCTTTAACGGCATTGTTTTCACACTTGTTCAAAAATGTCATGGAGGAAAACAGTAAAGCAAAATGCACGTGCAAGTTATGGCATTCGTAACTCGTGGTCGTGGCTATATAAAGGCAAGCATAAGACAATAATTTGTCATTCAATTTTCAACATTTTTCAAGTTCGAAAATGCCGAGACTCAGCGCTGCCGATCGGAACATCGCCATAGGACGTATCCAAAGAGGAGAATCGCAGTCTTCTGTTGCACGCCACTTCAACGTCCACCACAGCACCATTTGCCGCCTTTGGGACCGATACACTGCAGACCGTCCGAGATCCGGCCGACCAAGAGTTACCACCCCTGCACAGGATCGCTTCATTCGACTTCTCCACCTACGTCATCGCAAAGCCACAGACAGCTACGGAGACTGCAGGACGCATCCCGTGTTTGAGGAGGAAATCGGACCAGACTGTCAGGAACCATCTTCGCGAGGCTGGAATCCGACCCAGAAGACCAGTTGTTTTACAACAGATCCATCGACAACGACGCTTGCGTTGGTGCCATACCTTACAGCTTTGGAATTTGAGACGAGTGTGGTTTTGCGATGAATCACGATTTCTTCTTCACAGGCGAGATGGAAGACAACGTGTTTATCGTCGTTGAAATGAGCGTTTTGCCCCACATTGTGTACGTGAATTCGACAATTTCGGTGGCAGTGGTGTCATGGTGCGGGGGGCCATATCCTACACCACAAAATCTGACTTGGTTGTGGTTCAAGGACATTTGACAGCAAATCGCTACATGAATCACATTTTTCAAACTCACCTTTTTCCAATCATTGACCGCCAGAGAGTGTATGTCACCATCCTCTGACAAATATACTAGCCACATAAAGAAACTGTGCACGGAGAAAATATAGATATAAGGGCACACCGTCCATATATGAAATATAGGTTTGAACACAGCAATTATTGGAGACATTCAAACGCTCATGCACGTCCCATGCGATATGACGTCATTGATGGGGGCCCATGGACGTGCAATGTGTTACTGCACGTGCATCCTGTGCAGCTGTACACAGCATGTTCAACTCAAAATTCGCTGTCACTTTGGAAAGCATGATCTGTGGTCATTCAAAAATTCAAAACTTCTCAGGCGCAGACACAAGCATATCACAAGCAAATCATGCCAAGATTGACAGCTGCACAGCGTCATGAAGCCATTGGAATGATCCGAGCGGGAATTAGGCAACAACAGGTGGCAACACATTTCCAATGCCATCGTAACACGATATCGGCATTGGTGAGGCGTTATCAGAACACAAATGACGTTGCCGACCACCCACGTTCAGGACGTCCCCGAGTAACGACGCAAAGACAGGACAGATGGATTCGAGTTACACATCTCCGACACAGGTTCCAAACGGCAGTAACGACGTCCCAGACAATTCCTGGACTGCGCCGTATCCATCCCAACACTGTCAGGAATCGTTTACGTCAGTACGGGATTCGACCACGACGCCCTGCCATACGTCCCATCCTGACACACCGTCATCGAGTCAACCGTCTAAGATGGTGTCGAAATCATGTTCGCCAACCTCGAATATGGTGGAGAAATGTCTTTACAGATGAATCGAGGTTCAACATTTCCCACAGTGACGGGCGCCAACGTGTCTACCGGCGTTTGGGAGAACGTTATGCACGCAACTGTATTGTGGAGAGGAATCGTTTTGGAGGTGGCTCTGTGATGATTTGGGGTGGGATAACAGCACGGCACCGAAACCCTTTGGTGGTTGTTCAGGGCAATCTCACCGGTGTTGGCTACAGAGATCAGATTCTGAGGCCTGTGGTCATTCCTTTCCTGCAACGTCATGGCCCGGGATTGACATTTCAACAGGACAACACTCGTCCTCACACGGCCAGGGTCGCAGTGGATTTCCTTCACCATAACAATGTCATGTTACTGCCATGGCCTGCAAATTCTCCAGATCTCTCCCCAATAGAGCATGTGTGGGATGAAATGGAGCGCCGTCTGCGTCGTCTTCCACATCCTCCAGATGACGTCCGTGAGTTGGCACAGGATTTGAGGAGGATATGGCAGGCCATTCCCAAGGCCTTCCATGCCCATTTGGTGGACTCCATGCGTCGCCGATGCACTGCTGTGATTCACACACAGGG